GCTGACTTAGATCCCAGGCATAACTACATCCTTGGCTTCCATCCCCACGGTGTGCTGGTGGCAGGAGCCTTTACCAACTTCTGCACCTACTCGACAGGCTTCAGACAGCTGTTTCCAGGCATCACCAGCTACCTGCTCATGTTGCCTCTTTGGTTCAGAGCTCCATTCTTCAGAGACTACATCATGTGTGGAGGTTTGAGCTACTGACATTTCAGTCATATTTCCCAGTCTTCTTTTTTACATATGTTAAAATAAACATATTGTATTTGAAAACTTTAAATATGGTTTCCTTCTGTTACAACATTGCAGGCCTGATTCCTTCAGACAAAGAGAGTGCCACTTACCCACTCTGCAAAAAGAAAGGTGGAAATGCTGTTGTGATAGCTGTTGGAGGGGCACCAGAGGCCCTCGATGCCCACCCAGGCACTTTCAATGTACTCTTGGCCCATAAAAAAGGCTTCATCAAAATGGCCATGGAGTATGGGTAAGATCAGCCAGCCCTGAGGCAATGTGGAAAATTCTGCTCCATCTACTCATCAGCAATGGTTTTGCTTATTAAAAAGATTGTCAATCTATTCGTTTTAGGGTTTTTTGTAGCTTGACTGTAGAGTCCTGAAACTTATTCAAGTGACTTGCACGGAATTTCCTGGGAAAGCGCACATTCTGCTATGAGATCAGTTAGAAATAAGAAACCAATAGAGCTCAACCATTTTTTCCCAGAGCTCATCTGGTACCAGTCTTCTCTTTTGGGGAGAATGAAGTGTATGACCAGGTGGAAAACCCGAGGGGAACCTGGCTTCGATGGTTGCAGGAAAACCTGCAAAAGATCATGGGTGTCTCTCTTCCTCTCTTCCATGCACGAGGCATTTTCCAGTACTCCTTCGGCCTTATGCCCTACAGAAAACCTATCAACACAGTAGGTGAGTAAGCAGCTGGGTGGATACTTGGGCAGCAGTGTATATTAACACTCTAAAGGCCTAATAGATATCTTCCCTCAGGTAAAAACATATAGTAAAGCATCCTTGCACTTCCCAATAAGTTTTCAACTTTGTGAGAAGTAACTGATGTCACTGAGTTCAGTTTCGGTGCATGTGAGTAATGGCGATCGCACGATCTGATATCCT